TGGGTGTGATTTGTAGTTGTCTATGTATGTGTTCATGGCACCCGCGATACAGGGTTACCCTAGTGCGGGGCTATGAGTTTGCGTGCGTTATTATTATAATTTTTTGGAGCTTATTTTCCACCACTCTTCTACAAATGTCGGCCGAAACGTTAGCAATTTAGTGTTCGATATTGTTCCTGAGTTCATTTAACGTTGGCTTGTTGGCACAAACCAGCGACTTAACATAACCCCATAAAAGTAATCCAACGACGTTAGATCGTATGAGTGAGGCGAGGTGACCATTCGATCGGATCACTTCGCGAGATTACACGATTATCGAACTTCCTCTTCGAATAGATCGATTGTTTGGCCAGCTGTGTGACCGCTGCAAACGTACTCGCGGTGGTCATTTGAACGAGATCGAATTCCACTCTTAAATGTAACGTGTGTACTGTACTTGGAATAAATTTCAGCTCGATATCCCAATTATTCCGTATTTAATTGACATACAAAACTGTTATGTCCTTATTGGAAAACCCTTTAATTTATACTTGTAAGATGTTACATGATATGTTACCCCATTTAATTTATTTTTATGGTTCCAAGTGACGGGACGAACAAGTCGTGCGCCTAAGTGGTGGTAAGCAACACTCGCCTTATAGCGAACCAATCCACCAATCGTATACCTACGTCCGTATAATCGTATACTACCTTTTTATATAAGGTGCTTATAAATTATGTATGGGGTTATTCCAGTGGGTACGACATGGAGACGTAAAATTAAATTTTATGATATTTATGTTTAAAAGAGTATAGCTTAATATTTTAACTTTAAGTAGTAACCAACTTACTATAATTTTTTTTAAAGTCTGCCAATTATAAAATAGATCTCTATCCGTAAAACCTACTAATGCATAATTTTAGAGATGTTAGATTTGGATCAGAAGGATCAATTTAAAATATAAAGACATTTACGCAATTCAAACATTTTCCCGCACCAAAAAAAAACTAATTTAGCATCGTCATCTATCAACATCGCATTAAGTGAAATACCGTTACATTAAGATTCCATTTTGTTAGTGAAGTGGCCAGTGATAGTTAAAAGATTTCAAAAGACAACATTGAAGACGTTTTAATCACTAAGTAGTATTGTTATTAACAAGGTGTGCTTAGTAATTAAACTTGTTTTTTAAATTTCTTAATAAAGTCACATAGATTTGTTGCGATTATCTTATTTCAAAGCGATTACAATAATTAAGTAATTGGCTTTAAAAGTATCCGTTTAATTGTACACCATGTATTACACAATTGCTTATGCTAATTATTGATACAAAGATCGAACAACAAACAGAAAAATTCATTCGCCAAATAATAAAATAAAATAATTGCAATTAAATACCAAAATAAATACTAGGTATTTAACACAACTAAGTACAGTATGGTCGATGGTCGGTAAGTATTTTAAGTATTTTGATTTGCCTCACATGGTGCATCGAAGAACTCTAACCCCTGAGAAACAGGTTACCATTGAGTTCAGAGTTGGAAGAAGCGCTACCTCCTTAGAAGATATTGCACAAAACCTTGTAATCCATGTCATGTAACACGTTTCTATTTTATGTACAATAAGTTATTATTATTATAAATTGCTGACAGCCATATCGTAAGCCAACTTATTTTACTTCTTGTTTTTGAAAGTGTTACAGCTCCATCAATACAATCTTTTTTTATGATATCAAGTGACGGGACGAACAAGTCGTGTGTCTGGTGGTAAGCGACACAGCTGTCCAAAGAAGTTGCAGTGCCACTCAGAGCTTTAAATCGCAAAGGCCTGAGAGGCGTTGCTACCACGCCCGTCACCCTGAAACATAAGTTGACAAGACTCATGTGCCTGTAATTCCTAACGTTGATGATTACGAATAGAAAGATCAAACACACAGAAAACTTTTCCTCGACCTACTGGGACTTGAACCCGCGTCCATGCTGCACCGTACCACCGCTCTAACCATCTGAGCCACGGGTCCAGTTACAGATTCATCGAAATTCTCCTATGTGTTTTTGTTATACGTTTTGTAATGACTTTACGGCACTCGTCGCCGCTCAATAAAAAAGAAAATCTCATTAACTACATTCTAACGTTGATGATTCCGCTAAAGTCAAGGAACACACGTCTTTATTACTCAGAATTTGATCGGTGAATCTACTGGTTAACACAAATTGATTTCAAATATCAGTTTTCTTTTGTGCAATTCAAACGGACACTTAAGTGACAGAAATTGTCAACTTAAACTCTCGAATCGAGCGCTCTAAGACTTCGCATTCGTTCCGCTTTCGTGATCCTTTCTCAAATGTCCAAATGTCTTGTCACGCGACGTGCTGTCTAGACAAGGATCACTATTATGCACGCTCCGTGTGTTGTGATGTGACAGCATTGATAATGTGAGAGGAGAGCAAAACTTCACATAGGCATAGGTCTCGGTTTGAGATAAATGCCTTAAATATAAAAATAGTAAAACGAATAATCACTTATGTAATTGAAAATTAATCAGTAGCAATTAAGTGTGAATGAACGCAAACAAGGAAACAATTTTCATCATCATCAAGCCATTTATATGTCCTACTGCTGGGCACGGGTCTCCTCTCAGGCGAGGGTTTCAGTCAGGCCCAATGCGGGTTGGGGACTTCACACGTTTTCCGAGGCTTGTGAAGATTCTTCGACGCGCACTAGGGGAATATTTTCCCATAAAAATACATGAATATCATGGTAGTAAACACATCATAATATAAATAAAATAACTATTGCTTAATGCTATGACAGTAAAGTCACGAGATGGACGAATTGCATATGACAAATTTTTTAGCACCCCTAGCGAAGAAGCACGTAAATTTTCTATAAGACTAATAAGTCTATCGACCCTATATGGTACAATACTCAGCGTATTGCGTTATCAGTGGCGTAAAAAATGTCATAATTTTCAAGATTACGTTTTATGCTTAGCAAGTACGACTAAGAGTAATTTAAATGTGATTTATAGAGGACATAACGCAAAGAGGAAGTACAGTGAATTAAAAAAGAGTCGCGGTTGGGTGCTATGCAAAATAACCACGACAGCTATTTAGTCGCGGGCAGTGTTTTTAAATTTTTAGTTAAATAGGCAACTAACTTTCTATGTTCATTGATTCGGAAAATCATTTACAGTTTGGCTTATTGATTAGAATTTTCTCACGTTCCTATAGCTTATGGTAAATTTCAAATTAAATTTCGCACTTAAAATTCGAAAATTCAGATGTGTGACCCCGAATTCGAACCCACCAGGCCCTCGGTTTGAGAGACTCAAACCATTAGGCTATCGCGGCTATTATATTTTTTCTTCTAAACGCATTGACTTACAATTATATGGACGTCGGGTCCGCGCTAAAATCGTATACAGAGCGCGACACTCCGCTTTAGTCTTCATTTGTTCTACGGACAGCGCGATACTGCGATGACATAACAATTTAAATTTCGAATAGGTTGACTTGGGACATTTTTTTCGTGGTTTTTGTATTAGACCCGTCGTCCATTTATTTGTAAGTCAATGTCTAAACGCTAAATAATTGATGAGCTATTACATAACGCGAACTATCTATAGTTAGATTTTATTAAAAAAACAAAAAACTCGGAACGTGTAATTTCACTGCTTTACAAACACGTATTGTTACAGAACATAATAATATCGAATTATATTATTATGTTTTGTAACAATATAATATATTATTATATTACGCAAACTATAGACGTAAAATTCTGTAATTCCGTTACTTTTAAAATAGAAAATATGATTTCTTTACTTAGGATTAGGGTTATTTTTTACTATTATTATTATTAGGATTATAAATAGGATTTGAACGATTACGTCGTCATAGTGTTGACGATATTTCCGCACAATGGGCACGGAAAATACTGGACCGTGGTCTATTCGTGAACGACACTGGGTTTGCCCGAAACCTTTTTCCTCCCGTGTTGTAATAAGCGAAAAGTTATTACTAGCTCCTAATATTTCGAAACCCTTGGTGTAATAAGGCGATATCTCCAAAATAACTTTGCAGGAGAGGTCCTTAACATTCTACTTTTTTTTGAGGCGTTAAAATAATAACAATGATTTCGTTTCTCAATACAAGGAATGTCCAGTAATATTATAATAGACTAACAATTTTAAATGTTGTATCACTTGAGAGAGACTAGAGACCGTACTAGGCAACTAAACCTGTTGTAGCGAATCAAAGCAGTCGCTACAAATCTCTTTTGCGAATATATAGTATATAGTAGAATATATATTATAGGACATTTATAAGTTAAGTTTAGTTTTATATTTAAATTCTAAATTTAAATGTGATTGTTTTAGGTGCCTTCTCTTTGCTATTTTTCTGTTTCTGGATTGATAATAAATTAATGAACTGTAAGTACATTTACTTTGCTCACTCGTTGATAGCACCCAACAGAACCCATTGATACAGTCCGCTACACCTGTATTACAGCTCACCAGGCCGTCACCCTCTCAGAGTAGTTTTAAGTAAAGCCAATAAATAATATTTAAAGAAAAATCCAACGAAACTTTCGAAATTAATTGATAACCTTTTTATACTTAAATAGGAAAGTAATAAAATGTCACATATATTTTTATTTGTTTTAAGGAGTTCGTGTTATTTTTATGACTTTGATGTGATAAAACCACTTTTGACGTATAATATCGTCTGCTTAAAGGTAAACCACATATGACATTTTCCACAAAAATCTCCAAATTATGTACCAGTTGTAAGTAAATCTTTCTGCAGATAAAATTTATAGATAAGATAAAACTTTATAGCTTTTTTCTTATTAGTATCACGTGCAGAAAGATAATGATTTCGTGACCATAAATGTCACTTATGTGATTTTACCTTTAAATAGACGATGTGGGTTTATTATACCAAGGATTCGGTTTGAATCAGGCAGAGATTGCTGCGAGGACACAGAGACATCTTACATTCGAGACAACACATACCTCGTCTGCGGGCTTGGTGGGTGTGATGGCTACGGTCTCGTTGAAGCAGAGACAGGCACAATAGTGGCGGTTGGCGTCCACGTCGGTCAGCACCGACACGTAGAACCGAGGCTCCGACCTCTCCGTTGATAGCGCCCATCCTTGTGGTTGGCAGAACTATGGATTACAAAACAAACACATGTTAAGTTTAATACATTTATCTAACCGAATACCTTGTTTGTTGTGAAATGTCTACTTCATAGATGATTTATATATCTATAATAAGAAGGTATTATGTAAGCACAAAGGTACTATCAGTGTATAATACGGATTATTTCGTTCTTGGAAAGTCAAAATTATGATCGCGACCTGCCTAAATAAATTTTTCACTCGTGGACCTCCATTGACGTCTCATGCACCCCCTATTTTCTTAATGACTGACATGGACCCCTGGTTGGTTGGAGTGCACCCCTTGGGGTTGATATAAACCACTTTGGCAATCATCGATCCTTTAAAGTTACTAATATCAAAATTGCGACACCACTATTTACGTTCGAAACGTCATGGTTCTTATGATTTGCAGAAATTACTAGGTTCCTGTTACGTAACATGGTAATGGTAATCAAACTTATCGGCTTCTGAATGAAAGTAATCCTTACCCATTCTATGCCGTCGTGGAATGGTGTGTCGTCCCAGTTGTTTTCAGGGAATCGCTGGAGGATTATGCCGCTGCTCAGGCCGCCCCCTACAACAACAAACCTTTATAAATACCATGATAATATATATATATAATAGTCAATGAAAAATAGTTGATAAACATAATATTAATACGATAAATAAAAATAAATTGGCTGTTGTCTTCACAAAGTTGCAAAATTTATTTAAGGTTCAATATGTACGTTTGTATAATAAGCAGTGATCGGAATTAAGGACGTTAATTTAGCTAAACTAAAATATAACAAGGACATTCCCTTCTACAAATCCCGGAACTTCTCGGAACTGATTGTATTTGAAAGCGTATTGTTTATTTACATTTGAACACATTGGCGATAAATTATATTTCCTATTAAATATTTGCTACAAATTAGTCTCAAAAAATAATATAATATGAATATAGTTTAGTTTTCCATTAACATCAATTCAAACTATCACAAAATAGTGAAGCTGCTTCAAATATTTTCTTCAAGAGTATCTTAGAAGGGACACTTTTGAGAGCCCGTTTGGTGAGTCTTCGATTCTTATAAAGAACTAAAGGAACCAAATTAAGGATCTTATCAACAAGACTGCTTAGAACAACCTGGTCCACTTCTAGAATTCTCCAAAATGTTCCATTCTGATACTATCAACACCTAGAGCCTAACAACAATAACAACAGCTTAAAAAGATGTAATATCATGTCGGCGGTGCTCGTTTCGTGAGCCAATAGACAATTTGCGTGGCCGAATGGGCGCGGGAACGACCCTGACCTGAGTGGACACTAAATTAGATCTCCACTACAAAACCGTGTATTTTAAATAAGGTACCTATGCATTAGACTCATAAAGCTGTGATATACTTTCAAAAATAATAAAATACACAGGAAACTTAAAAATGTTATGTCGCTCTACATAAATTGGCGTTTCTAACATTTTTGCCATAACTAAATACGACGTACTATCTTACACAGCTTTCAAAGGCGAACATCTCCACTAAACATATATGTAATTTTTATACGGCAATATATCTCATTGGTAGAGCGACTTTGACATGAGCCACAGCTCTTGATGTAAAATGGTAAATAAAATACGTTGTCCTCAAAATATATATCGTTCCCGAATCGAAGGGCGCTTTCCGAGCTATTCAGAACATTCGAGTGAAATGTTCGTTTCGGATTCGGATACGACATCGTTATCCAACTCGTTTACGGGGTTAATCGGTGAAATAGATTATAAGAAAACTTTAAATCTTTTTATATACATTTTTAAGACTTTAAAGGCCTAAAATATAAGAATGCATTAGTCTTGCATTAAAATAAATTAATAAAATTGAACAAAATCCAGACTTTATTAAAAATAATAAGAGATTTCCATATTACATTCATGATTTGTAAACAATAGGACGTTCGGTAACTTTCATTCGATAACTGTGTTCTGAATAACGTTTGTAGCCTTTGCCGGTCGAGAAGTTCGAGTAATCGTACGGGTGTGACGTCATTTCGGTTCGGTTTCGAATACGACAGCTTGATTCAGGATGTTGTGAATAAAAATGAAAAGAAATCGGATTACAACCGAGTTACCAATCGACCCCAAGGATAGAAAAGATACTTACAACTAGAATGAATCTCTGAATCGACCCCCTGGATAGAGAAGATACTTACGACTAGGCACACGGTATCGAATCAAGTGTTGACAGTGCACTCGGGTGAAGTATCGCATAAGAAGTAGCGTACTCATAAAAGTATTGACAACACCTTGACGTATAGATACTTATGTCTTCAATACTTAGGGTTTAATCAATGTTTTTCAAATAAATGAAAATTTCTAAAACAATGTCATTACGCAAGTTGAGCTAGCATGGCATGAGGTATATCAGTGAATTGTCATTTGTTATTGAACAAAAAATTACTTTACATTGAAATAGCCTTCGACCTTAGACTATCCTCTAAGCTTTCAACTAAGCAGGAATTATTCGAATATTTGGCAAAACTTTTTATTCGATACGTTTCTGACTAACACCAGAAAAGTATCCAACAAAATGTATTGCGTACAAAGGTATCGGTATCGATTGGAAAGTACTCGTCATCAAAAAGTATCGATACTTTTTCCGTGCCCCTACTTACGAAGGTTATCATAAAAACAATCAATGAAAACCGGTTTTGGGTGGCAGTGAGAAATTGGCCACACCGAAAACATTTAAATAAAAATCATTATTCCATAAAAAAAATCTAAAAAATCATTTTGTACTTACATTAAATTAATTTGTTAAATGTTAAATTAAGTTTAATTAGTGGACGTATGTACTCGTTTACTAACAAGATCTTGACGTATTTATAAGTTACTGAATTTACTCGAATATTTATTCCGTGATTTCAAAGAAGGTACATATATACACTCTATTTAAGTGCCTTACGTGAAGTTATGGTAAACATACTCTCTCTATTCCTAACTCTGTTAATAACAAACATAATTAGCACCTAAAATGCTTCACCGATTCCAGAGAACAACAACACCATATTTATAAATAAACAAAAATGGTCTGCGGTGTCGACTGCCGGTGAGATTACGTCACGACAACAATGATTCATGGTTCATGCGGTGCTTGAACGACTTTTTAAGCGAAATGTCAACAACTTGAGATTTTCAAGGATACATTGACGCTATTTGTGTTAGAAAGTTGTGAAAGTGTACAACTGTTAATTGATTGTGTGTAATATTTGCATATTATTACCGGTTTGATAGAAAATATTTGTGAACTGTACAATTTAATTCATAATTTTTTTATAGTCCATTGATTGTTGTGTACAATTAGAATGAAATGTCATAATTTGAGGCTAACAGCGCAAAAGTGGTGTAGCCGCACATTTAATTTTTGTTCTACAATATTACTTTAAATGATACAAATGTTAACATAATACCTGTGAAATAGATGAATAAATGTTAATTATACAAAGTACGTAATTATTATATGTATTTGGATGCTATTTTCTAGTTTAAATTTAATAATTATATATTGGCCATATATGTATGACTTCTAGTACTTACATACATATAAAATTAATTCGGCTAATTTGAAATCTCTCATTATCTTCTATATCTACGCATTTTATGGGGTTACACCACTTTTGCGCAGATATTCCTATTTATAATGTAACCACTTGGTTACATTATAAATAGGAATATCTGCGCAAATATTTAAATTATCGGAAGTTGTAATATAAGTTTAAAATGTTACGATTTAAAATATTACGATCTCGATGGCCCAGCGTATAGCACTGTGTGCGCTAGTTGGGCAGGTCGATTCTGGGTAGAACCAATTTGGGAAATGTTTCGAGCGTTTTGGGTAGTGCTCTAGTAGCAGTAGTTCCTTGTAATATAGTTCGCCTAGGGAAGTCCTGCTACCTTACCTATTTATGCCGCCAAGCAGTATTGTGAGAATTACTGCGTTCTAGTTTTGAAGGGTAAGAAGGGTGCTGATGAAATTACAGACACATGGGACTTGTCAACTTACGTCTCAGGGTGACGGGCGCAGTGGTAGTGT